TACAGCAACCTCCAACATCTGGTTGTGTTCCCTTGGTGACTTCAGGATTAACTATTTCACTGCAGAAGCATCTGTACACACAGTTCTGTTGCAGTTTTGTTTATGTTGTTCTTTCCCTCCCTCCTCTACTCCATTTTCTTCTGGTTGCTCACTACTTCACCCTGCAAAAATATTGTTTACTATGCAAGCCCTTGTAATGCAGAGGAGGCATATGCACTTAGAAAATACATGACTATTGGTCAGTAGCTTCAACACTTTAATTCTGGTCTCACAGGAATGCTTACAACTAATTCAGATTTAACACCAAATTATCTGTAGTAAAGTGTGGACACTGTGATGGGCTAACTCTGGCTGTCAAACAGTGATAAGGTATTCTTGTGAGCACAGCTGTAGTTTAAAAAAATGGGTCATTAAGGGGGGTGGTGTGTGTTTTTAATCAAGCTTTTAGATCTTAACAAGTGACAACTTAGCCATAGGTACAGTATACCCAGTAGAAATTGAGAAAAGTGCATCAAGGTCTAATACTTTATGACCTAACTGTTAGTTCTTTGGTTCTTAGAGAACAAAGGAGGCAGGCTCTATTGATTGAATTGCAGTACATTTGGTGCTACTCAAAGAGATAATTTGAATCTTTCAAACTTTTATTTTTGTGTGTGACAAAATTCATACGATTTGAGTTTTGTTTGGGGTTTACAGATGTCTTATGAAACATATAACAAGTCAAAACAAATTTTCATATTAACTTAAATTGGAGGTAACGTTTGCACAGCACACTTGGTAAAACCAGCAGTTTCAGTTAGATCTTGCCTGGTAGTCAGAGCATTATGGTGTTGACTTCAGTGTCCACAGAACAAGGCCGCTTCTCTTCTAGCAAACCCTGCCAAAAAGGAGAGATGAGACATTCTGAGTAACTGTAAGCAAAAACTCGTAAACCTTTTGTAGTAATATATTCAGTATAAACTACAGGTGTTTTTGGTGTTCTGTTGTGAGGGACCACTCAGATGCAACATTCTGAACTGGCATAGGGTAAATTTTGATTATTTTTTGAGGTTATGGGTTTAAAAAAATTTTAAAATGGGTTGTCCGCATTAATATTAAAGGCTGTCTTATTGATTGATTTTATATATCAAATAATTTCAAGCAAAATATCATACCTTTTGTCCTAAATCCCAGGATAAGTTGCAACAATGAATACATAAAACAATCAACCATGAAAAAAAGAAAAAGTCAACTGTACATAAACTAGTATTATGATTATATATTTATATAATTATATATGATTATATATATTATGATTATACTTGTCACTTTTTGCAACGCAGCTTGCAGTACAAGAACAAACATTAAAACCAAACAGAATAATAAGACTAAAACAAGAACCTAAAATGCTCATTCATAAAAATATATAAAAAGGACATATCCAACTTACCCCACTAAAAGGATGAGCACAAAAGTAGGCTAAAAACAACCACCACTTTCCAAATTAAGAGTTAAAAGCCTGGGCAATTAAAGACAATGTGATAGTTCCAGGCATAACCCCCTGGGGAGAGCATTTTACAAGTGGAGAGTCTCCACTGAAAAGGCCCTTTATTGTATCTTCACTCTGCATCTTAGAGGGACACATAGTGAAAGGTGATTGAATGCAGGGTCCAGGTTAGTTCATGTGGAGAGAGGTGGTCATTGAGATACTGGGGTACTGCACTGCCTAAGGCTTTATAGGTCAAAACCAGAGTTAAACTTGGCCACCAGTGCAGTTGTGCCAATATTGATGTTATATGCTCAAACTGTCCTGCAATTTGGCAGCTGAATTTTGCACTAGCTGTGGTTTCCAAACCATTTTCAAGGGAACCCAGTCACACAACACAGTGCACTAATCCAGGGGTCAGCAAATTTTTTTCGCAGGGGGCCGGTCCACTGTCCCTCAGACCTTGTGGGGGGGCCGGACTATATTTTGGGAAGCCCCCCCCCACTGACTCTCCCCTTCTCTGCAGCACTGGATGAGCCCCAGTGGCTGCTTACCTATTCCTTATGAGCGGCAGGGGCTGGCGGCAGGACGATGAGCGGCACGAAAGGGCTGGCTCCGGAGAGAGGCTGCTTAAAATGGTGTTCAGCCAACCGCGGCTCATCAAAGCCCAGCCCCCTTCCTTCTCTAGGCAGGGCAGGGAGAAGCCAGGAGGAGGGAGGGAGGGAGAAGGCGCAGGTTCTGGGTTCTTGTTGGATATTGTAATTTTACTCATATTAAAATGTTGTGAGAGTTGGCCCATAGGAAAACTAGTTGATTTCTCCGGTCTTCCAGCAATGAGTTCCATAGATAACTGAAGGTTCTGATTGGGCCTGCAAAATAGTTGGGGCAACCTGATATTTGTCAGTGGATATATTTATTGCATTGCAGATTAATTTGGTAAAAAGTGAGGCAACGTGCTTATGTCTAAATGGTCATTCAGAGTTGAATGTGACTTGTTCAGTGGTGTATTGAAATGTGTGTGGTAGCTGAGCTTGCCTATTCTGGTGCCCAGCTTCTAAGCATATGCGTAGTGGTAATTACCTTACAAGGCTTACAAGATGGGAAGAGGGGATGCCGAAATGAACATTTAACTCTTCCTTACATTGGATTATCTACATGTGTGGGCTGTCAGGTGATTCAAAGGTTTTTAATGGTTGGGTCATAAATTGTAATCTGTTGGTTACACCTGTGTACAAATAAATTATTCTGAAGGAAATTGTATTTTGCTTTTAGATGCGTACACGTGTCACAGGGGGCAGCATATGGAAAGAGATTCCTTATTGTCTGAGATAGAAGAAATGTCTGTTCCAATATGATGTTTTTGTAAGCAAAAATAATTAGCGCAGTGTGGCTATATGCATGTGTACACAGAGGTAAGGCCCACTGTGTTAATGGGAATTACTTCCTACAAAGTGTGATTAGATTCTTGAAAGAATCTGCCTATCAATTAATTGGTGGCATATTTTTATTCAAAATATTTTAATTGCTTGATCTATACCATTAATTGATTTAAATACTTGCAGTTCTATGTTCACTAAAAATGCACCATAAGCTTCTCAGTTCCCAGTGAACCTTTTAGCAGGCTATTAAGGTTAGCTATAGTCTCTAAGGTATGTAATAGCATTGCAACCACACACAAAAAATGTAGCCAGATGGTTAGAGACTTTGTGAAAATATTTTGACTAATGTGAAAAACCAATTGTAAGCTATTACCATGCTTGAAGTGTGAATAGTACAAAACGTTTCTATTTTAGTCTGCTTATTTTTTTTTAAAAAAGATGTTACTATCCTATCTTTAAAACAACACTATATGCAAAGTATGTGTCGATACATACACCAGGAATTTTGTCATTCTTTTTCCTTGCAACGTTACTGCTTATCTTTAAGTGAGGTAGAGATTTCTGTGCTGCAAATGGCTAAGCAAAATTGCTAATTGCTGCCCAGAGTATATTGAGCAAGAACTTTGAATGTATCAAGGATAAGGTTTCCTGAATAGCACAAAACTTAACTAGAGAAGCTGTTATGTTTTTAAGTAGACACTAATTAGTCTGATTTTTGAGATGGTGGAAAGAATCACCTCATCTCTGAGATCATTAGCAGTTGCCCACTGTTGCATGCCTCAGGGATTTTTCTTTGTGGGGTAAATATATGCAGTAAAACAAACCAGCTTACTGGTCACTTGCAGGTTTTGCTTGCAGTTGTTTTGACAGTAGGATTGTGACTGCAGTCCTGTGTTTTTATACATTGTTCAGGGTGTGGCTACAATCACAGGTTTGATGTATCCTACATGTAGAGAAGCTCTCTTGGCATTTGCGTTTCAGGAGCATTTTAACTCCGAGATACTACTTTCTCAAACAGACTGTGTTACTCCATACAAAACCAGCACCTGAATGTCTGTACTACTTATTAACGCCATATGACTAGTTGCTATATAAGACTTTTTAATACCCTGTTTAAACTTCATTGGTACTTTGGCTGTAGTCCACACACAGTTAAACACACTTAACTTCCACTGCTTCCACTGAGACCTAGACACAGACATGAGCATGAACTTGATGGTGGCTTTTATGTTTTAATGCAGATCACATCAGGTTCTGTTTTCAGACATTGTGAAATGTGTTAATATTTAGCATTTATTGGGTCCCCTGGTGAAATTAATTTCAGGGGAGACAAAAGAAAACACCTTTCACACAACAGATTAATGTATGGCATTCCCAACCACAAGATGTGGTGTTGACCATGGCTTAGATGGCTGTTAAAAAATAGATTAAAACTCATTTACCCTAAACCACCTTATTAGGTGCTCTAATTAAGCAGTATTCCTTTACAACTATCTCCTCCATTTCTTTAGTTACAAATTATTAATAAATGTGGTTAAAATACATATTCCAATGCATTATATATTGATTGCAATTCAAGTAACATGTGTTGGTATTATTATTATTATTTATTGAATTTATATACTGCCCTATACCCGGAAGTCTTAGCAAAACCTCCCCAACATCCATCCTCTTAGATGGCTTTGAAAAAGGATTGGAAAATTTAATGGAGAATTGGTCTAGCTAAGTGGAGATTCTATGATCAGAGGCAGTATCACTGTAAATACCAAGTTTCTGGGGAAGTTGGCATATAGGATGGGTTGCTGTCTTCATATTGTGCTTGTTACCCTTCTGGAAGCTGTGAGAAATAAATGCTGGACTAGATGGACCTATAAGCCCTGTTGGATTAGACCAAGTTTTCCTAAACTTGGATCACCAGCAGTTGTTGAACTACAACTTCCATTATCCCTAGCTAGCAGGACCAGTGGTCAGGGATGGTGGCCTGTAGTCCAGAAACCGCTGGAGACCCAAGTTTGGGAAACCCTGGATTAGACCATTTTTACATTTAGTAAATGTGTCAGATTCTCTCCCCCCCCCCCCGAATAAGTAAGCTTGATTGTTTTCTTTTGAAAGAAGGAGCTTTACAAATGTGCTCATTTTGTTTTGCTTTCTTACAGAAATGAGTCGTCAAACTGCTACAGCGCTTCCCACGGGTACCTCCAAGTGCACACCATCACAGAGGGTGCCTGCATTGACTGGCACCACCGCTTCCAACAATGACTTGGCTAGTCTCTTTGAGTGTCCTGTCTGTTTTGACTATGTACTGCCACCTATTCTGCAGTGCCAAAGTGGCCATCTTGTTTGTAGCAACTGTCGTCCCAAGCTCACATGCTGTCCGACCTGCCGAGGCCCACTGGGTTCAATTCGTAACTTGGCTATGGAAAAGGTTGCCAACTCTGTACTGTTTCCTTGTAAATATGCCTCCTCTGGCTGCGAAATCACTTTGCCCCACACTGAAAAAGCAGACCACGAAGAGCTTTGTGAATTCAGGCCTTATTCGTGCCCATGTCCTGGTGCTTCTTGTAAGTGGCAAGGCTCTCTAGATGCTGTCATGCCTCATCTCATGCACCAGCATAAGTCAATAACGACGCTACAGGGAGAAGATATAGTTTTCCTTGCTACAGACATTAATCTTCCTGGTGCCGTTGACTGGGTTATGATGCAGTCTTGTTTTGGCTTTCACTTCATGCTTGTATTGGAGAAACAGGAGAAATATGATGGTCACCAGCAGTTCTTTGCAATTGTACAGCTGATAGGAACACGGAAACAAGCTGAAAATTTTGCTTATCGACTTGAGCTAAATGGTCATAGGCGACGATTGACTTGGGAAGCAACTCCTCGATCAATTCACGAAGGGATTGCAACTGCCATCATGAACAGTGACTGTCTAGTCTTTGACACCAGCATTGCACAGCTTTTTGCAGAGAACGGCAATTTAGGCATTAATGTGACGATTTCGATGTGTTGAAACCGTGATCTGACGTTTTCAGGCCAGTGTCTAAAAACAACCCACAGCATTCAGTTTCATAGAACAAAGGTAAACATCTTTGACTGCCAGATGTGAACAATTTGGTAGGGAGGGGTTAGCATATATGAAGGTAAATTAATAGGAAGGCTGTTAAAGTACAGGAAACAGTTGCATGTAATAACACTAATATATTTAAAATAAGTCAGCAGTAAACCACTGAAAATATATATATATGCGTGTATGTGTATATATATATATATTCTACCCAAAATGGGCATCTTTTTGTATTAAGAACTGATTGAATGAAATGTGTTGTAAAATAATTCTAAACTTGTTTGTAGATTGATTGTACGTTTGGAACAGATACTGTTTTGTGTTTAATTTGTATTCTTTTCCTTTGACTGACAAGCCATGCAAGGCGGTCCAGTCTCTGGCCGCTACTTCCCCCTATTCTTCCTCCCCTCCCACTGCGTAAGTCACTACATAGTATTGCTGCTGTTCTTGTGTAAATTTTCTGTGTATTTGCTAATTTTTATTAACTTCTAGTTTTTCATTAAATAAATGATTTTTTTCTTTTATGTAATTCAGGTTTTTCCTTTTTCCTTTTTTTGACCCTTTGAGATTAATTACAGGTGTCCATTTTCTGATACTTATAATTACTTATGGTAAAGTGTATACTTCTGTATGTTTGGTATCATTTTTAGGGGGGTGCAATCCTGCCACTGGTTATATAGTACAGATAAGTCCTGTGGACCTATATGGAACTTAAACCTGAGTAACTCTGCAAAGGATTGAAGTCCTTAGTCTCTTTCCAGTAGTTCATTCAATGATACTGTTGTTCATTCAGCTATTTTTGTGAACATAACAGTGTCTAAAAAGGGGCAACATTGAACTGATTCCTAAAAAGGCTTCTTTTAAATTGTAGATGCCATTGTATTTTGAGTTCAAGCATAACTGCAGATTTGTTTGAGAATGTTCTAATTTAAAAAAGTGGAAGGTCAGGCACATTTTCAAATGACTTTAGAGACCTTTAGACATTTTGAAGTCATTCTTGTATTTATTGGTTGTGCAGTACAAGAAGGCATTGTCTATACAGTATTTGTAACTATAAATTACAGACCATTTGTTTAAATGAGGCAGTTGAAATAAGCTGTTTTTGGTCTTTTTTAAATTCTGTCATTAAAAGAATTCCTGGCAAACTGAAAACTCTCTTAAGTGAATTTTTTGCCTTAACGGAATAGAAGCTCACTTGAATGCAACATTGCTCAGAATTCCTTGTTCCTTTGTTCAAGGGTATGCTGCCTGTTCTTGCACAAGGGGAACACTGATAGTGTTCCAAGCTCCTATAGGAATTCCCAGTGGTACTGCTGGTGGTGGTGGTAGTTGCAGCCATTCTTTGACCTGACCTTTTTTCTGGAACATTAATGGTTGGGATTTCTGGGATTCAACATGCAGGCCTTAGTGCTACATCTACTTTCCAGAAATGTCAACCAATGTGATATTTCTTTTGTGTTTACTTTTGTTTTGCCAATGGGATCTGTGCCCAAGGCTCTCTTAATTTTTGTGCGGATTACACAGATGAACACTCTGCATGTCTTAAAAGTTATCCTGAGGGAAGTGCTTGTGAAAGATTAAAAGTAATCTATAAGGATCCCTTTAATAGAAGGGGCAGGCAGGAATCAATGCAAGAATGGGAAATATTTTATCTATTCAACAGCTGGAATAGCAAGGTGGGAAGGGGGTCTAGGAAGCAGAAGGCTGCTGGATGCAGATAGGTGAGGCACAAAAAGAACCTCATTTCACCAAGACCCACAAGGCAAGCTTCAGCACAATGCAGATAGGGAACTGGGAGGAGAGAGGGTTTGAATACACTGTGTGAGGGGTACTTCTCCATGTCTGCTGTGGCTGAATCAGTCTTGTGACTAAGCTCAGGAGAGTTACTAGTCTGTCATAGGCTAGCAGAGGACAGCTGTAGAGCTTTCTGTGCTAGGTGAGGTGGCAGTGGGATTTCCTTTCTCTGGCAGCCCAATGATCTCTATACTTTGTGTAGAGGAAGAATGAAGCACTCTGTCCTGGTAATCAGCCCAGTCACTCTCCCACATGCAATTCCTTGGTTATCAAAGTACTTCAAAGTACTTAAATATGGCTGATCCTGCCCATTTCCTCCCCCCCCCCAAACTGCTATGTTATATGTAAATATTTAGTTGTAATCTAGAATTCAATAGATTGCAGTTTGCTTAACAGGATATTGACTGTGCTACTAATTAGTTTTGACTTCAAAGCAGGTATGAAATGAGCAGCTGCATTAAGGTAAGTGCCATTCAGCCTGTTGCGTATTAAGCTTGCTTAAAAATACTGTCTTCTACCTAAAATACTCAAAGCAGGAAATCCAGGATGCCCCATTATCTCAGGTATTGGCACTATTACTGTGGGTGTTTCCGGTTATATGGACTCTGTTTTGAAACCATATGCCATCAGTGCTCCCAGCTACGTATGTGGCACCACAGATTTTCTGAGGAAAATACAATCTTTGAATAATCTTCCTAACAATACTATACTAGCCACTATGGATGTGGAATCTCTGTATACCAACATCCCACACAGCGATGGATTACAAGCTATAAGGAACATCATTTCAAATAAAATCACAGCGGACTTTGCTACCAAACTCTGCCATTTGTCCTTACCCACAACAACTTCAAATTTGGTGATGACCTGTTCCTCCAGATCAGCAGCACAGCAATGGGCACCCACATGGCCCCACAGTATGCCAACAGCTTCATGGCAGATTTAGAACAGCATTTCCTAAACTCCTACCCACTCAAACCTCTCTTATACCTGCGATACGTTGACGATTTTTATTATCTGGACACATGGTCAACAGACCCTGGACACCTTCCACCAGACATTCAATGACTTTCACCCCACCATCAACCTAACAATGAACCAATCTATGCAAGAAATACATTTTTGGACACTACTATAAAAATAGAGGATGGGCGTATAGACACCACCTTATTCTGTAAACCAACTGACCGACAAACATATCTACATGCTTCTAGCTACCATACCAAACATACCAAACAATCCATTGTATATAGCCAGGCCCTACATTACAGACGCATCTGTTCCAACTCTACAGACAGACATTCACCTAAGAGATCTACGGCAAACCTTTTTAGAACTAAAATACCCACCTGATGAAGTTAAACAACAGATCAACAGAGCCAGACTGATACTCAAAGAGAACTTGCTGCAAGACAGACCCAAAAAAGAAAATAACAACACCACTAGTAATCACTTGCAGCTCCCAAGTTAAAACAGTTCAACGCATCATCAGAGATCTACAACCTCCTAGACAATGACAGTTCTTTCTCAAGCTCTGGGAAGAAGACCTTTCATTGCCTACAGACAGCCACCCAATCTTAAACAACCAGACTTAACATGGACACTGGTACCAGAGCCTACAATAAACCCAGATGCCAACTTTGCTGCCACATACACCCGGACAACACCATTACTGGCCCCAACAACATAAAACATACCATCTCAGGACTATTTAATTGCTCATCTAACATTGTGTATGCCATCAAATGCTAACAGTGCCCTTCATCTTTCTATATTGGACAAAAAGGCCAAACCCTACGCCAAAGGATAAATGGACATAAATCTGATATCAGGAATAACAAGACAGAGAAACCAGTAGGAGAACACTTTAATCTCCCAGGGCCTTCTATACAAGATCTCAAAGTAGCTGTCTTATTACAAAAGAATTTCAGAAATAGACTGGAAAGAGAAGTTGCTGAATTGCAACTTATTACCAAGCTTAAAACCATGGAGAGACGTGGTCTGAATAGAGACATTGGATTCTTATCTAATTATACACGATAAAGCTATTTTAAGCCATCTCACCCCTTGCTTTTTCCTGTAAGACCAATTGCAGTCGTTAACAGTTGTCAACAGGTTTACCACACCTATCAGCCAATCACCCTTTCCCACTATCCTGAGTAATGCCCCTCCCCACCATCTCACTATATATCAGGGTCTGGTGACTTCTGTTTCAGTGTATCTGAAGAAGTGTGCATGCACATGAAAGCTCATACCAATAACAAACTTACTTGGTCTCCAAGGTGCTACTGGATGGAAGGAATTTGTTTTGTTAATAATACTAGTCACTATTGCTTGGTTCTGTCTCTGATGGTGGAGGCAGTATGTCTCTGAATTCTAGTTGCTGGGAATTTCAAATGGATAAACCACTGTTGCATTTTGGTCCTGCTTGTGGGCTTTCCACAGGCATCCAGTTGGCTGCAGTGAGAACAAAGTACTGGACTACTTGGGGCATTGTCTTGATCCAGCAGGGCTCTGCTCACTTTAAGATGTAATGTACACATAACCAATCAATGTATTTGCATAAATACTTTTTTCTGATTTTTTTTGTTTGGGGGGGTCATTTAACTCTGAAGTTTACTTCTGAATGTTTGCCCCTCTTTCCCCCTTGTATTTAAGGAAGGGCATTGAAACTGAGTAAGAATTATGCAGATATTTTAAGATAACCTTGCTTTGGACAGTGATACGTTTCAGGGCATCAGTGAAATGGCATGCAATTTGGATGGCATGCATCTTGGCAGCTGTATGTTTTCCGAGAATCTGTGCCCTGCTGTTTCCTGTGACATTGCAAATATACTTAGAGAGCACCTTGGACCATTGTGCATACTGCAGCCAATTATGCTGGATTTGTTTGTTTATTTAAAGTATTTCTATTCCACCTTTCTCCCAAGTTGGGATTCAAGGCAGCTTACAACAGTTTTAAAAACATTTTAAAATGTGAAGTAATAAAAACAATCTAGTTAAAAACAATAGTTAAAATACAGTAAAACACACTTAGACCAGTATTAACATACTGATTGCCCTGATAACAAGCAGCCCAGTAGTGAACATAAACTGCACCTGGTTTTTAAAGCTCTGTCTAAATAGGAAGTTCTTAACCTACTGGTGCAATGATAACAGAGATCTGGTCTAACCCCTTTTGTGAGGGAATCCCACAATATAGGAAAAGGCTTGCTCTCCTGTCACCACCAACTTTGATGTTATTGGGACCAAGAGAAGATGCTCTCCCACAGATCTTAGCACCAGGGCAGGTTCAAAAAGAGAGATAATCTTTCAGGTAACATGGATCCTAGCCATATAGGATTTAGGTGTTGAACTGCTGCACTACTGACTTTGCAAAGGTTTTTCTTTGAGTTTCCTGAATTATCTTGTGTTCTGGGAATGTTTGCAAACCCACTTGGCAGTATAACTAAGGTTACATATATTTTTAATATGTATATCTCCCCTGTCCTCCGGGATGGAACTCGAAGCAATGGACATGGAAGCTTTTCAGACCCTGCCCAGATCTAAACTTGCTTAGCGTCAGCAAATCAGTTGCACTATGTGCCTTCAAACTATGTGCCAAGTCATAATGAAGCTGCCCAGAGTCTGTCTAAGCTGCTAGTGTATATACCCTGATCACCAGCAGCTCTCCGGTGGATTTTTCTTTTCTGGGGGAAAAAAACCCCAGATCATTTGGGGAGCAATTCTAGTTGACATGCACAGACATTTTTTATTTTTTAAAATCTTTTTTTAATGGTCCAAGATGAATGCCACACGTTTGTTTAATGAAACAGAAAGTAGCTGCTGATTTGTTCTTGTTGCCCTGTGGCTTCTCACTCTCATGCAGCTTGAAGTGAGAGCCATTGCTGCAGCATCAGAGGCAGACTCTTTTACCAGGTTTATAAAAATGGTTTTGAGGAGTGAGGCAATGTTGTTACTGCCTTAAAAAAAAGGCTGAATACACTGCAGTCAGATCCAGGTTGTCCTCGTGTGCCCTTTTTAATGGAGAAAATAGACTGCCTATGTAACAAGTTTAAAAAATGTGTGCAGCCCTCTTCTACACATCTTCACCTGTAAGTAAAACCAAGTGTTTTCAGTAAGAACTACTTCCTAGTAATGGTGTGTTTAGGGTTGAAACCTTCGTGCTTAGAAAGTCAGAGATGTGAGAGAACAAAAGAGGTAAACAAATCTCAGATCCTTTGTTCATACACTACACTTAACACCCTGGCTTTTGATGTGCAAGTTAGACCGGTTTGAATCTCTTTTGTTACTGGAGACTCCTGTTATACTTGCTGGGTTAAATTCAGAAATGGACTATGGAAATGAAATATTAGCAT